ACGACCGCAGCGGCTCCACGTGCAGCGCGGGGAGGACGGCGCGGGCGGCCATCGTCACTCGACTCGCAAAGCGCCGTCACTCGACTCGCAAAGCTCCCATGCGCAAGAGGCCACTGTGGCAACTGTCCGTCTTCAACATAGATCGCATGCAGACCTCAATACGCGCGTGAGCTCGAACAATCCGGGCTTGCGCGTCGGCAGCCCGAGCATCGCAGTCGCAGCCTCGTCGGGCAGCCCGAAGCGTCGCAGTCGCAGCCTCGTCGGGCAGCCCGAAGCGTCGCAGTCGCAGCCTCGTGCAAGACAGACTCGCAGCCTCGTGCAAGACACACACGCATGGCGTCGCTCGTGGAAAACAAGAGGCGCACGCAGGAAACCGTCGCGCGCGCGGGCACGCTCGTCGACCCGCACGCGGCCTCGTGCCCGGGGATCGGCGCGCCGCAGCGCGTCACGTTCATCCGGCACGGCCAGTCCGAGGGCAACGCCGCGCGGTCGCGGGGCATCAAGCGCACGGACCCGCGGCTCCTCGACTGCGGGCTCACGCGGAAAGGCGTCGGCGAAGCGACGGCCGCGGGCGCGGACATTCGCGTCGAGCCGGACCTCGTCGTCGTCTCGCCGCTGACGCGCGCGCTCGCGACGTGCCTGCACCTGCGATTCGCCGCGGCGCCGATCGTGTGCACCCGGGCATCAAGGAGATCGGTAGCAAGCTACCGGAGAACGCGCGCCGGCCGGTCGCCGCGCTGCGCCGCGACCGCGACCTCTGCTGCCTGCCGCGCTTCGAGGACATCGACTTCTCCTTGGTCGCCGAGGGCGAGGATGCGACGCTCCAGGGCTTCGCGGCCTGGCTCCAGGGCCGGCCCGAGCGCGACATCTGGGTCGTCGCGCACCACAACTCGATCCAGTGGCTCCTCAAGGACGCCGGCGGCCACATTCCGAACTGCGTCCCCATCGCCACGGAGATGGCGAGCGACGGGACCTTTCGGCCCGTAGGGTGATCTCTAAGGCGAAGTAGCAGCTTCAACCTATCCGTTGCGGCGAGCACTCGAAAGGGCAGGGCATGTCACCCGCCGCCACGGCGGCGGTGCTCGCGCTGCTCGCCGTCGCCGCGGACGCCGACAACGCCACGGCGCGCCGGCGCTACCCGGAGTTCGGTCCCCACCATCGGCGATTCTGGGGCCGCGAGCCGTCGAACTACACCTGCCCGTTGAAAAGCGTCCTGGCGCCGGCGCTGCAGTCGCTGCGCGACGACGAGGCGGCCGCGACGCGCTTCGCCGGCGCGGTGGCGCTCACGGAGCGCGACGGCGGCTTCCGGCTCGTCTGCAGCTGCGCGTACTACAGTAGCCCGGCGACGCTGGAGCTGCACGCGCGGCTCCTGCTCCAGTACGCGCGGCCGACGACGGTCGTGGTCGCGCACCTGTCGCTGTCGACGGCCTTCGGCGACGCCTACGCCGAGATCCACCGCGCGGGACCGGCGGCCGCCGCGCGGCGGCGCGTGCTCATCAACCCCGCGCGGATCCCGACGGAGCGCGGCCGGGGCAGCGTCATCGTCTCGCACCTCCTCAACTTCTGGTGCGCGAGGCACCGCGTGCCGGACATGTCCCACTTCGCGCTCGTCGCGGAGAACTCCTTCGTCTTCCGGCCGGGCTTCGAGGCCTTCGTCGCGGCGACGGGCGCGGTCGACATCGAGCGCGACTTTCGCGTGAGCGACAGAGCGGACAAAGTGAAGCCGTGCGCCGCGGAGGACGCGTTCTGGCGCCGCGTCGTCTTCGACGACGGCGACCCGCACCACCGCGGCGCCAAGGGCATGTGCGAGTGCAGCTACTACCCGGCGGGCCTCTGGGAGGCGTACCTCTGCTCCGTCGGCGCCGAGGGTGTGTCGCGGCTCCTGAGCCCGGAGATGACCAACTGCATGCCCGAGGAGCACTGGCACCCGACCTGGATGCTGCGCCACGTGGACTGGCGCGCCTGGCGCGACGCGACGGCGGCGACGATGGCGGAGCTCCGGGAACCGGCGCCGCCCGGCGACGACGACTGGCGGCGCGCCGTCGTCTCTCGGATACCGCCCGTCGGCGGCGCGGACACCTACGCGCGGCGGCCCTTCGTCACGGGGTCTACCGTGTTGGCGGAGAACGCGGACGGCCTCAACTGCACGCGCGCCTGCCCGGCGGGCGACAACTTCCGCGCCTGCTGCCTCCGGGCGCTCTCGGACCTCGAGTCGCCGGCGTCGACGCCGCTCCGGGCCAAGTTCTGCTGGAAGGACTCCTTCTTCCGCGCGACCGACGACGACGCGGGGCTGCGGGCGCTCGCGGGCGCCGCCGACCGGAGGGACCTCGACGCGCCGCGCGTCTTCCTCGACGGGGAGGACGCGGCGGCCGCCGCGCCGGAGGCGCTCGCCGCATCGCCGGAGGCGCCCGTCGCGCCGGCGCCGGAGGCGCCCGCCGCATCGCTGTCGGACCTCGACGCGGAGATCCGCGAGACGGAGGCGAAGCTTGCGCGGCTCAAAGCCGCGCGGGTGCGGCAGCCGCGCCGTCTAAAACGACATCCTTAGCCAAAATCGAGCTCGACGAAGGGGTCGGCGAGGAGCGCGGCGCCGCGGTCCGGGCGGTCGTAGGCGACGTGGGCGTACTGGACGCGGAAGAAGACGAGCTCCCGCGTCGCGTCGGAGCCGTTCGTCCCGCCGCGGTGGGGCAAGAGCGGGTGCATGAGGACCGCGTCGCCGACGTCGAGGGACACCTGGAGCGGCCGCCCGAGGTCGGGCAGGGACCGGGTCCGCTTGAGGTCCGGGTAGTCCCGCCAGTCCCGCGCGTGCTCGCGGGGGAAGACGGAGAGGTTGCCCGCGTCGGGCTCGAGCTGCGGCGACAGCGCGACGGCCAGGATCACGGAGAAGAGGTCCGGGAAGCGCGACCCGGAGGCGTTCGCCTCGCCGTCGATGTGGTAGAGGTGGCCGGGCCGCGCGTCCGCCCGGCCGCGCTTCTTTTTGAGCGGCGTCCGATGCGCGACCTGCGTGTAGAGCAGCCCCGCGGGTTCGCGGCCGCCGCCGAGGTCGCCGAGCGCGCGCGCGAGCGCCGGCGACGCGCGGAGCAGCGCCAGGAGCGGCGCGTGGCCGTCGGCGACGACGGCGCCGGCGCCGAGCGGCTGCTCGAGGTGGCATCGCCAATCGTCGGGCCGGAGCCGCGGCAGCGCCCAGTCCGCCCGGCGCGCGGCGACGTAGTCGCGCGCCGCGGCGACGAGGTCCTCCGCGCACGCGCCGCGGATCGTCGCCCAGCCGTCGCGCCGGAAGGCGGCGCGGTCCAACGAGGGCTCGGCCGCGGCGGGCGCCCAGGGCCCCAGCGCGAAGCCGGCGTCGCCGCCGGGCGGGACGTGGAGGTCGGCGTGCGTGTAGAGCATCTAGTGCGTTGCAAGGCGCTTCATCGGACGTGGTTTGAGTGCTTCACGCGCTGCGGCAGCGCTGCGCTTATCGATTTGCCACAAGCTCCATCGCGTTTTGGAGCAGCGACGACTCCGTCAACCTCATCATCGTCGGCGCACAGCGTCTGACGACGAGAGGCACGCAAAAATGGGCGCGCCGGAACCGACACTCTGGTCGAGCCTGCCGCGCATCGGGTGGGCCGACGCGGACCACTTTTCCGTGCTTTCCGGCGGCGCGTTCTCCGACCTCGAGTCGATCCCCGAGCCCGTCGAAGTGCAGGAGGTCTACATCATGGACAACTTCATGCGCGCCCTCGCCGAGTTCCGGTCGCCGCAGCGCGAGGGCCAGGTGACGATTCCCATTCCCTGCAACGAGCTCGAGCATAAACCCGCGTCCCGCGCGAATTTTTTTCGACGCGCGCGCGCGAGTTTCCGGCGTTTTCCGCCGCGCGACGCGGCCGCTCGCCGCAGGCCCCTGGAGCACGTGAAGCGGCGCCTCTTCGAGCAGGTCGCCGCGAACTTCGCGGCGCTCCAGCGGCTGCCCGCGGCGGCGCTCGCGGACCGCTACGGCGCGGACGCGTCGAAACCCGGCCACGTGCGAAGCTACGCGTGGGCGTCCGAGTACTTCGGCGAGGCCTGGAGCGAGGCGGACCTCAAGTGGTGCGTCTACCAGCGCTACGCCGACTTCCTCGACCCGGACATGTGGAAGCTCTACGGCCCGGACTTGTCCGCGCCCGAGGAGCTCTTCGACGAGCTCAAGGTGAAGCGCGCGTCCGCCGCGATCGCCAAGTTCCAGGCGTCGGCGGGCCTCGGCGAGGTCCAGCCCGGCGCGGCGCCGTCGACGTCCAAGGACGCCATCTACCTCCTGCCGACGCACGTCCGCGTCATGCTCTGGCGCGACGGCTACGAGATGCTCATGTACACGCTGCCGCGCAACGCGACCTTCGAGGCGCTCAAGGCCCTCGTCGAGGCCGACGTCGGCGAGGCGGGCTGCTTCACGTCCTTCGCCTTCGGCCCGCCGGGCCGCAAGTTCGGCCCGGGCAAGGCGCTCGAGGACTGCGTCGGCGCGACGACCGTCGGCGTGTCCCACGCGTGGGCCTAAGCGCGAAGCGCGCTTCCGGTGCCAGTCGGCCGTTTCGAACGCCGGCGCGGTCGGTGGCGGCGACCCCTGGGTGTCCGCGACTGCCGATCTCTGCGGGCTGCTTTGCGTCAACCTGGCTTCAATGACTTCAACATTGTCAAGTTACCGCAGATCGTGGTGCTCTGGCTCAACATCGCACGCGATGGCGCCCTCTCTGCGCGCTCCTCTCTGCGCGCTCGCGCTCGCGCTCCCCGCGGCGATCCACGCTCTCCAAATTCCACGGCGCGGCGTCGCGCGACCGCGCACCGCCGCGTCGCGGCGCTTCGCCGGCGCCGTCGCGTCGCCGGCGCCGGTGCCCGGCGCGCCCCAGCCCGGTCGTTTCGCGCTCAAGCTCGGCAGCAAGGCCATGAACCCCGTGGGCGCGATCTTCGGGTTGAGCATGAGCTGCTGGGTCATCGCCATGTACCCGCTCGTGCTCACCTGCGCGGCGATCTCCAGGGTGAGCGACTGGAAGCGTCGGCGCGCGATGGACTGGATGGTCGGCTTCTGGAGCCGCGTGTCCATGCTCACCTGCGGCTACCGGCCCGCCGTCGTCGGCGCCGAGCACCTCCCGGACCGGGACGAGGCCGTGCTCTACGTGCCGAACCACTGCTCGTACCTCGACATCCTCACTCTGTCCGCGTTCCTGCCGCGGCCCTTCAAGTACATCTCGAAGATCGAGATCCTGCGCATCCCCTTCATCGGCTGGGCCATGGGCTTCGCGGGCCACATCGCCCTGCGGCGCGCGGACCGCCGGTCCCAGCTCGAGTCGTACAAGGCGGCCGTCGCGTCCCTAAAAGACGGCAACTCGCTCGTCGCGTTCGCCGAGGGCACGCGATCCGACGACGGCACGCTCAAGAAGTTCAAGCGCGGGCCCTTCAAGATGGCCATCGACGCCGGCGTCGACATCGTGCCCATCGCGCTCTGCGACCTCCACAAGTGGCACCCGCCGTCCGCGCTCATGCCGCTCGCCGTGCCCAAGGGCGTCGAGCTGAAGGTCCTCCCCCGCGTGAAGACCCGGGACCGGAGCGCCGACGAGCTCATGGCCGACGTCCAGGCCGCCGTCGACGCCGCGCTCCCGGACCACCAGAAGGCGGCGTCCGCGTGAGCCCCCCCCCACGGGAGGCTTGCTTTTTAGGGGCGGGGGTCCTACTTGGCGTCCTTGGGCGCGTCCTTGTTGCCGAGGAACGAGAGGAAGATGTTGTACATGATCTGCATGCCTGCGGCGGGGCGCGTCGCGCGGCGCGGCGCGCGCGAAAAAGAGCGGCGGCGCGGGCGCGCGCCGTTGATGTAGAGGAGGCGCTGCTCGCCGGGGATGAAGCGGAAGTTGACGAAGTGGGCCGGGACCCAGTAGGCCCAGGACCCCGTCACGGCCGTGGGCAGGTCCGCCTTGATCTTGTCCTGGATCTGGTCCGTCGACTTGCCCTCCATGAGTCCCAACGACGTGAAGAAGACGACGCCGAAGATGGGGTTCCAGGCGATCTGGTCGATGCCCACCTTCTGGAACACGGTCTGCATGGACGTGCCGGGCAGCATGCGGTCGAGGAAGCCGTAGAAGTAGTGGCCGCTCGGCCCGTGCCACAGCAGCCCGAACGTCGCCATGCGCGCGGTCCGCGCGACGTCGAGCCTGCGAAGGTCGGCGGTTCGCGCGTTGTCATTCCCCGCCCCAGGCGCCGGCGCCGCGCTCCTCCTTGCCCTCGACGCCCTTCTGCGCGAGGACGTCGCCGAGCGTGAAGCCGGTCAGCGACGTGAAGGCCTTGACCGCCTGCGGTGCGGGCGGCGGTTTTGTGTGTTGTTTTTTTTCCGGTCCGGCGCCGGCGCGCGCGAGCGGCTGGGCCGCGAGGGCCTGGTTGTACTTGGCCCAGAGCATAGCCATGTTCGTTTGTTGAGGTGTAGCTTTGCGCGTGCCGTCAAGATCCTGTGGAGCAGCTCGTCCTGAAGCACACAAAGCTGGAAGTGCGGCTCTGCATTGTTGACTGCGAGCTGGACCGGTGTTTCTTCCCGACCGGGGCGCGCCGCTCCCGTCGCCGGCCTCGGCAGCTGGAACGGCAGCGTCCATCCCAGTACATTCGTCGCCGCGCGGCTGCCTCCGTGCATCGAGGCTGCCCGACGAGCGCCGCGGGGGGGGGCTGCCCATGCGGCTCTGGGTCCTCGCCGCCGTCGCGGCGGCCGAGCGCAACGCGAGCCGCTACGTCTTCGAGCGCAACGCGAGCCTCACGGAGGAAGAGCGGGCCATGGCGGAGGGCTGCGCGCGGTGCGCGGCGTCGCGCGAGACCGTCCTCGGCGCGGCGGTCCGGGGCGACGCGCTCGGGCGCCACCTGTCGATCACCGTCGTGCCCGAGGTGCCCTTCGTCATCGTCGACTTCGACGACCGCGGCGTCGCGGCGCCGCCGAAAACTTGGGGCGGCATCTGCCTCGAGATCCTTCAGCTCGCGGCGTCGCGCGCAAACTTCACCTACGACCTGCGCCTCGCGACGGGCCACGTGCCGGGCACGCCGGACTACGGCACGGCCCAGGCCGACGTCGAGGGCGGCGAAAGCGACGCGTACCTCGGGGCCTTCTTCGTGACGCCGGGCCGTTTAGCGAAGAGCCGCATGACGACGCCGTTCATGGGCAGCGTCGGCGTCGGCCTGGCCGTCGAGTGGCGGCCGCCCGCGAAGAAGCTCGACGCGAACGCCCTCGCCTTCGCGCCGTTCAAGGCGGACCTCTGGGCGGCGATCCTCGTCGTGCTCTTCGTCGCGGCGCCGGCGACGTTCTGGTTCCTCGAGGCGCCGTCCGCGGCGCGCGGCTCGGACTTCGAGGAGGCGCCGGGCCTCTCGTGGCGCGGGCTGCGGAAGAACTACATCCACTCGGCGTGGCTCTCCTGGTCGACGTTCACGCAGGCCGGGAGCCACTCGCCGAAGACGGGCGAGGGCCGCGTGCTGAGCGCGGGCTTCACGTTTTTTACGTTGGTGACCGTCGCGCTCTACACGGCGCAGCTCACGGCGCTGCTCGTGTCCTCGGAGCCGCAGTACGCCTACACGTCGGTCCAGGGCTGCGCGAGGCAGGGCGGCCAGAAGCTCTGCGCGAAGGACGACACGGCCTACCTCGGGTGGCTCCGCGAGCGCTACGCGGACGCGGACGTGGACATCGTCGCGTACGACGGCGGCCACGCGGCCATGGTCGAGGCGCTCAAGCGCGGCGACTGCGACGCCATCACCGACGCGGGGACGCTCGTGCGCTACTACGCCGAGGGCGTCCACTGCCCGCGGCCCCAGTCGGACGGGTTCCGGGGGCTCTTCCACGACGCGGCCCAGGACCTCTCGGAGGGCTACGAGGACATGGCCGTCGGTGTCGGCGACACGGTCTACCTCGCGGGCATCCCGGAGGCGCTCTCCTACCACCTCATGGCGCTGCGCACCGAGGGCGAGGTCCGCGCCATCGTCGACGGCTTCTTCTACAACGAGTGCGAATACGACGGCGAGAACTTCGCGGAGGACGACGCGATCGGCTTGGTCTACTACCGGGCGATCCTCGCGGGCTTCGGCGCCCTCGTCCTCGCCGTCGTCGCGTACCGCGCCGCGCGCAAGTGCCGGGCCAGCGAGGGCCACGGGCGGACGCTCATCGAGGCATTATCGGCGCTCGCCGCGCGCGCGCCGGCACCGGCGGCCGCGGCCACGCTCGCGGGCGCCGTCGACGCGGCGCAGGCCGCCGCGCTCGACGCCTGGGCGTCCGGGCCCGAGGGCCGCGCGCACGTGCGCCACGAGGTCACGACCTACATCCGGGAGAACCGCATCAACGGGCCCCGGGGCGCGTTCCTCGAGGAGGGCGACTGGGTCTACTGGTCCGACCAGCTCGCCGCCGAGGACGCGGACAACGAGGCGACGAGCGACGCGGCCCTCCACGACCACCGCGTCCTCGGCCACGTCCGGCGCATGCTCTTCGAGCCCGTCTTATCGCACGCGTTCCTCACGGCGACACGGTCCCAGAAGGCGGCATTGCGCCGCGCGCCCAAGGCGCCGCCGCCGGGCGCCGCCGAGGCCGTCGTCGTGCGGATGAGCGACGACGACGAGCCCGGCGAGCGATGGAGCCCCCGCGGCGAGCCCGACGAGCGATGGAGCCCCCGCGACGAGCCCGACGACGACGAGCCCGACGCCGCCGCGGCGGCGCCGAGCTCGCCGCCGCCGGACGCGCGCGCGACGTCGTCCGGGACCCCCGCGGAGTTCCACCCGTCCCACTTCGACGAAGACGGCGACTGGCGCCCGGCCTAACGGTCGAGCCTCGGGTCCGCGCGCTTCGTCCGCGAAACGTCCGCGTCGCCGAGGGGCCGCCGGAGGAAGTCGAAGAGGAGCCGCGCGTTGTGTTTCCCGACGAGCGGCCGGAGCTCGTCGACGCCGAGGTCGCCGAGGTCCGCGAGGCTGTCGACGGCGTCGACGACGGCGCGCACGTTGAACGCGTTGACGCCCGGGAGCTTCATGAGCACGTCGAGCCCCGCCTGGTTGCGCCCGCCCGCGGCCGCGTCGTCGTCGAGGTCCGGCGCGCCGCATCGCCGCGCGTCCTCGAGGACCGGGTCGCCGCGGACGCGCTTCAGCGCCAGAAACAGCGCCGCCGTCGCGGCGTCGTCGCCGGCCCAGAGGAAGCGCAGCCGCGGGAAGTGCATGGCCAGCACCGCGACGCGCGCCTCGATGGCCCGCGTCGAGCCTGTGTGGAAATCAACCAGTGAGCTGGGACGTCGGGGCCAAACTTCAGAATTCTCTAGCTCGGTCAAATCGAAGTCGATTCGGCTGATTTCTGGACGAATCGATTGCTCTCAGCGAGTTCTCGAAGCGCGGCGGACGTGCTCGTGTCAAATCATTCGATTACGCGCACATTGAAGTCGGGTTGAAGATTTGATTTCCACACCGCGTCGAGCAGAGGTCGTCGCCGTCGCCCGCGTCGCTGACCGCGCGGTTCACGGCCTTGTCGTCGTCGTCGCGGACGTGCGCCGACGTGCCCCGCAGGCTCTTCGTCGTCTCGACGAGGAGCAGCGGCGTCGCGTAGTGGCGCCCCATGGCCTCGGCCTGCGCGACGAGGCGCCCGGACTGCAGCGACCCGTGGAGGTCGCCCACGGCCTTGCGCTCCACCACCAACTCCGGCGACAGCACGTAGTCGCCCACGGTGATCGTCGCCGGCCGGAGGTCGAGCCCCGCGCCGTGGAGCGCCGACGGCAGCGGCGCGCGGAACTCGCGCGCGTCCGCGATCACCGCCGTCGACGGCGGCTTGCCGCCCCGGAGCGGCGGCGGCCGCGCGCGCCGCCGCGCGGCCTCGCGCGCCGCCGCCGACGGCACGACGACGAGCTCCTTCTCGGTGACGAGCTTGAGGAACGCGGCGCGCTCCCGGTCGACCTGGGCGGACCGCGACGCCTCGTCGGCCGCTCCGTCGACGACGACCGCGTAGACCTCGACGGCGCGGCGGCTCCGCGCGCCGTAGGCCTCGAGCGCCCGCGCGCAGTCCGGGTGCGCGTCGGCGAGGACGACGCGGTCCGGCCGCCAGTCGCCCAGCGCGTCGCAGCCGTCGAGGAGCTCCGCGCGCGTCGCCACGACCAAACGCCGCCACGAAGCCGCGCGCGTCCGCTTCCGCGGCTCGCCGCCCGCGCGCAGGCTCGCCTCCTCGGCGATCAGGAGCGACCGCTCGAGCGTCGTCTTCGGCCGGTCGCGGAAGGGCGCGTTGGACCGCTCGAGGTACTTGAGGAACCGCGCCTCGGCCGCGCGCTCGGGCCCCCGGTCGAGCGCGTCGGCCGCCGCCGCCGCCGCGGACGCGTCCGCGACGACCAAAACGCACGTGCCGCCGCCGCCGCCGTCGCGCACGGCGTCGACGGCTAACGCCAGGCGCGGGCTCGGCTCGAGGACGCGGCGGAGCCGCGCGGGCTGCCCCCGCCGCGCGGGCGCGACCTCGAAGGCGCGGCGCCGAGCAGAATTCAAAAGCGCGTCCGCCGCGGCGCCCGTCGCCCAGGCGGCGGCGTCGCGGCCGCGCGCGGACGCCGCGCGGAGCGTCGCCTCGGTGAGCTCGAGGCACGCGAGGCCGTCGCCGCGCTCCGCGTGCTCGAGCAGCCGCCGGAGCGCCGCGGCGTCGCCCGCGAGCGCGCGCGCCGCCGGCGCGAGCGCCTCGTCGCGGCTCCGCAGGCTCCGCAGCGCGTCGTCGAGGCACCCGAAGAAGGCGGACGCCGACGCCGCCGCCTCCCGGAGCACGGCGTCGAGCGACTGCCGCCGCCCGGCGACGTCCGCGCCGCCGTCCGCGCGGCCCGCGAGCGCGGCGCGGAGCTCGCGGACGCACGCGTCGACGGCGACGACGACGGCCCGCTGGAACGCCGCCGCGGGCCCGCCGAGCCCGCGCCGCAGCTCGAAGACACGCGGCGGGTTGCGCTCGAGCGCGCTCGCGAGGCCGTGCTCGAAGCGCGGCCACAGGCCGACGGCGTCGACCTGCGGGGCCGAACGTCAGATGCCTCTCGCTCGGTCGCATCGAAGTCGATTCGGCTGATTTTGGGACGAGTCGATTGCTCTCGTCGAGTTCTCGAAGCACGGTCGAAGAGTCTGGTCCAACTAATCTCAGATGTGAGTTCCACGCGGCCGTCGACCTGCAGCTCTTTCACGACCTTGGACAGGTTCCCGAAGCCGCGCGCGAGCCGCTCGGGCTCCTCCGTGATGCCGCGGACCCAGGCGCGGGGAGACTCCGCGGGCCGCTCGCGCTCGCGGAAGGCCCGGACGACGAAGGCCTCGAGCGACCGCTCCGTCGCGCGATGCGCGTCCGCGATGAGCACGCCCCCGAGCCGCGCGGCGTCCATGGTCCCGTCGAGCAGGTCCACGACGGCGACGCGGCACCCGCAGAGCACGACGCCGCCGCCGCCGTAGACCGCCGCGCGCGCCGCGCGCGACGTCTCCGACGCCGCCGCGACCGCGACGCCGCCGCCGCCGAGTCGCCGGAGCGCGTCGCGGAGCGCGGGTTCCCGCGCGTTCATGTTCAGCACGAGGACGCCGCGGCCGTCGGCGCCGCCGCAGCGCCGCAGCACCTCGGCGACGACGTTCACCGTCGCCGACAGGCCCCGCGCGACGACGGCGAGCGCGTCGCCGTCGCACACAAAGTCGACGACCGGCGCCAGGTAGGCGGGCAGCTGCGGCGACGGCGCCGCGGCGCTCGGCGCGGGCGCCGTCGGCGCCGCCATCGGTGTGCGTGAGACCCGCTGCCGCGACTACTGCGGCGGCTACTGCGGCGCGGGCCGGGCCTTTGTGAGAGGATCCATGCGCTCTCCGGCAGCTCGTCAACATCGATTGAAGAGATGTTGTAGCACCCTTCTCCTTCTCCCTCGGACCCGTCTGCTCGACGACAGAGGCTTCTGCACTTCTGCTTGCGTTACGAGCTGCGCCGGCGACGACTGCGCGCGCGCGTCGCGCGGGAGGGCGTCACGGCGGCGGCGGCCCGCCGACGCCGCGGGTCGCGTCCGTCGCGCCTCCGGTAGCCTCGCGGACTGGGTCGCGTTGGCATTCGCTCAGGCGTCGACGGTCGCGCCGTCCTCGTGAGGTTCCCCTTCCTCGTAGATCGTCGAGAGATCGACGAGATCGTAGTCGAAGGCGCCGCAGAAGCAGCTCTGGAGCATGGGGAAGGATTGCTCCTCGTCGTAGGCGTCCTCGTCGCTTTCGCCGTCGCCGCCGGGGACGTCGCCGAGGGCCGCGGCCGCGTGCTCCAGGGGAACCGAGCGCGTCGCCGTCGAGAGCAGGACGAGGCCGTCGTCGCTCCGCGTGCTCATGGTTCGGCTGGGGGGCGCGATGAGTGGCCGCTCCGGGCTCGTCACCGGCTCGATCTCGGCGAGCTTTTCCCCCGCGAGCAAATGGCGCTGCGACTTCGCATTCAACTCTGTGTCCGTCAGGGACGGCCGCTCGCCTTCGTCTTCATCGGCGTCCGCGGGCGTGGTCGAAACCCCTCGGTTGGGCGCGAGCTTTCGACGAGGCATCGCGGTTCCTGAATGCGTAGGGGGGGCGGGAGGCGTTTCCACAGGTTTGGGTAGGAGGGTTTGCGAGAGCTCCTTTGTGTTGGCGTCGAGACCATCAAGAAGCTCGCGAATCGCCACACCACCTTGCGCTGCAAGCTCCCTGCAACTTGCAGCCCCGAGAGTTTCGAACTTGGCGCCTTCCGGAGATCGCAGCCCCATCAGCCCCATCCAGTGGCATCATCAGGAGATCGCAGCCCCAGCATCCATCATGCCCGTCGTCCACGCGCCTCCGAAGTCGCAGTACGAGCTCGAGCGCGACGCGAGAATCAAGCGAAACGAAGCCTTCCTCGTGTCGCTGGGCCTCGGCAAGGACGGCGCCGCGAAGCTCAAGGCGCCCAAGAAGGCGCAGCGCACGCCGCCCAAGAAGAAGGCGCCCCAGGGCCCGCGGCGCACGTCGGCGCGCCTGTCCAAGGGCGCGTCGCCCGTGGAGCGGCTGACCTACGAGGAGCGCGACTGGGACGACATGACGCCGCGGCCGAAGAAGCGCGCGCGGCGCGGCAAGGCGGCCGCCGACCTCACGGACGACGAGCGCGCGATGCTCGGCGCCTTCGACATGATGGCCTTCGAGGAGTTCCTCACGGACGAGCACCCCATCAGCGAGGACAACCGGCGCCAGGTCCTGCGCCAGGCCGAGAAGCTCGTCTCGGGGCAGGGCGTCCACTACGCGTCGCCCACCTACGGCTGGCCCGACGACGTCGTCTTCCGCAAGGGCGAGCCCGTGACCATGTCGAGCGACATCGTCCAGATCATCGCCGACGCGCGGGACTTCGAGGACGAGCACGGCCGCGACCACGGCAACGGCTGGCTCCTGAACCACCCCCTCCGCAAGCTCCTCATCTTCCAGACCCACGTCGCCCGCGGCGAGGCCGCGGCCTCGGCCTAGGCGGCCGCGCGGCGCGACTAAGTCGAGTCGGCTGTCGAAAGCGACGCGCTTGCGGGTGTGATCCGAAGGGCCGACCGCGGTCCGCGAAGTCTTCCTCCAAGGGTGGTGTTCGGAAACACCGGTGTGGGAAGTCCACACCCACACTGGCAATTTGCCAGTGCCCACTTGACAAGTGGGTCAGCCAGACTGTCTGGCTGGGCGCAGGAGCGCTGGTGTTCAGAAACACCGGTGTGAATTTGCCACACTCACTGGCATTTTGCCAGTGCTCAACTCGCAAGAGCGAGTCAGCCAGACTGTCTGGCTGGGCGCAGGAGCGCTGTGATGGGGAACAGCCCCTTCAGGAGCCCTCGCCTTCGACCAGGATGCCGTGGAGCTTCTCGCCGACGCGGAGCTTGTAGGTCAGCGTCGCCCGGGCGTAGTAGTCGGGCGCGAGGTCGAGGTTCTCGGCAACGGTCGTCAAGAGGTGAGCGCGGTCGCACTCGCAGCCCGGCGTCACGTGCTGGGCCGCCGTGCAGTGCGCGTGGAGGCGGTAGAACTGGGGCTGGTAGTGGAAGAAGACGCGGAGCTTCGACGGGGGCACGCCGTAGTAGTCTCGCGCGGCGGCGAGCAACGCGTCGCGCATGGCCCGGACGAGGCCCGCGCCCCGCTCGCCCCGGAGGTCGCGGATCGACGCGTACGCCGCGTCCTTGGCGATGGCCAGCAGGTACAGATCCGCCGTCCAGGGCGCGCCCTTCCAGGCGGCCCGGTCGCCGAAGTCGCCGTGCGTCCGCCACTTCGTGTCGACGTTGACGACGAAATCTTCGTGGTCTTGAAGATTCCGCTCGCGCTCGTGCTCGAGGTTGCAGACCGCGTCGATCCAGCCGATCTTCGCCGCCTGCCCCGCGGCGAAGGGCTTGACGAGCCGGTCGTACGCCTCGCCGGTCTCCTCGTAGACGACGAGCTCCGCGGGGCGCTTGCGTTGGACTTGCCGCTCCGACGCGGGCCAGATCGCCTCGCAGGCAAAGGCCGCGCCCGACGGCGCGGCCGCGTCGTAGTAGGAGTACTCGGCGCCGCTGTAGTTCGTCAGCGCGAGCTTCAGGGACGGCAGCGCGGCGACGAGGGCCTCCTTGGTGTCGTACTCGGCGCGCTGCGTGAGCTGCACGAGGGCCGGGTCGCCGCGCACGTCGCCGAGGACGACGGCGTGGCGCCCGCCGTCGCCGAAGGCGAGCACCTCTTTCGCGGCGAAGGGCGCGAGGTCGTCGAGGACGCGGCGCTCATCTGCGCTCATTTGCGAGGACATCGATTTCTGTGGCACCTTGGGTGATCGATCCACGTGGTGAACCTTGAGAAGTGTTGAGCCTTGCCCCCCGGCCTGCCCAAACTGGCCCAACTGGCAGCCCATCTCGGCAGCCCGCGCGCAAACGATGGGTCGCTTGCGCAAGCGCGATCCCTGGCGCACGCCGAAACCGGAGGACGCCGGTTTACCTCCGTCTTCGTCCGCCGGTCTGTCGTCGTCCGCCGGTCTGCCGCCATCGTCGTCCGCCGGTCTATCGTCGTCCGGCCTGCCGGCGATCGCGCCGAGATGCGCTCCGACGGCGGCTCCGTCGCCCGTCGCCGACCTCAAGGTCGCGATCATCGGCACGGGCGACATGGCCTCGGCGCACGCGCTGCGCTGGGCGACGGTCGGCGCGTCCGTCGCCGTCGGCTCCCGCGACGCCGCGCGCGGCCGCCACATCGCGGCGCTCAGCGGCCTCGGCGTGACCGGCGGCGGCGTCGCGGACGCGCTCGAGGGCGCCGACGTCGTGCTGCTGTGCGTGCCTCCGGGCGCGCCGGCCCTCGACGTCGTCGTCGCGCACGGGGCGCGCCTCGGCGGCAAGGTCGTCGTGGACATGGGCGCGGGCTTCGTCGAGGCGCTGCATCCGCGGTCCAGGCCGCCGCCGCCGCACGAGACGCAGCTGACCTGGCTCCGCGACGCCGCGGACGACGGCTCCGTCGCCTGGGCCAAGGCCTTCTCGACCGTCTCCGCCGCGGCGCTCCGCGACGACGCGAAGCAGCCCGTCGAGCTCGCCGGCGACGCGCGCGCCGTCGACGCGCTCGCGCGCCTCCTCGACGCCGCGGGCTGGACGGCGCTCCGCTGCGGCGACGTCGCGGACGCGCGCCTCCTCGAGAGCGGCGGGCCGCACAGGCGCGAGCACGCGGCCATCGCCGCGGCGAACGCGGCGCGCGCGCGCGGCGGTTTCGGCGGCGCCGCGGCGTCGTTCTTCGACGAGCCCGAAGCCTAAAAAGCGACTTTATTCCTGGTCCTCGGGCGGCGCCGGCGGCTCGCGGAGCGCGGCCATGTAGGCCGCGGGCGGCGCCGTGTGCGCGCCCTGCACGGGCGCGTGCGCGACGTGCCAGGGCACGCAGGCGACGACGAGCGAGGTCCAGCAGGCCGCGGCGCCCGTGACCCGGTACTTGTGCTCGAGGGGCGCGTAGGAGATCGGGATCGCGACGCCCGCGTCGCCGCGCGCGCGGTAGCGGACGACGGGCCCCGTGCCCCAGAGCCAGAGGACGCCCTCGTCGTCGAGCGCGGCGCCGTAGGACTCGCCCGCGCCGACCCAGACGATGTCGTGGAGCGCGTCGAGGGCCCGGGGCAGGGCCATCTCCCGCGCGACCCACGCGCGCCGCGCGGCCCCGTCCTCGCCGGCGTCGCCGTCGCCGTCGCCGTCGTACGTCGCCGCGCCCACGCGCCGCCCGAGGCAGCGCAGCCCGAACGAGTAGACGCGGCCGTCGTCGCCGAGCGCGAGCCTGGGCAGGAAAAGAGTGCGAAATTCCCAACTTCAAAGGCTCCTATCTCGGTCATGTTCCACTCGTTTCGGCTAATTCTTGGACGAGCGATTATCTCTCGGAGCGCTCTCGAAGCGTGAATCATTTCTCTGGAACAATCGCGCGCGGAACACTCACGTTGAAGCGACGTTGAATCACCCTTTTCCCGCTCTGGCGCGAGCGTCGTCCGCGCGCCGCAGGCGACGGACGCGCAGACCACGGGCGCGCCCGCCGCGCCCCGCGACGTCGTCTCGCGGCGGTCCAGGGGCACGGCGCGCGGGGCGGCGCCGCCGTCCGGCGCGGCCGCCTTCGGGTCCCGGCCGAGGACGGCGCCGCGCCGCGTCTCGAGGTCGAAGCCCGCGGCCTCGGCGGGCGCGTCGCCGCCGTCGCCGCCGTCGCCGGCGACGCCGAGGACGAACGCGGCCTCCGCGTCGCCGACGGCCGCGCGCCAGACGTAGAGGTCCCCGGCGACCGTCGCCGCGGCCGCGTGGAAGCCGCCGCAGGCGACGCACCGCACCGCGAGGCCCGCGCTCGTCAGCAGCGGCGCCGGCGGCCGCAGCAGCATGACGGCCTCCCCGGCGGGCACATCGCGCCGGCCGTCCAGAACGAGGGGCAGCGCGCGCGGCGCCTCGACGCCCGACGCGTCGCCCGTCGCGAGCGACAAGGCCGCGAACCCCGCGGCGCCGCCGACGAGATGGCGCGTCCGCGACGTTGACACACTGGGCCGCGCCGGCCGCCGCTCGTCGACGTCGCCGCCGCCCGCCCAGGCGACGACGCGCCCGCTCCAGAGCAGCGCGGCGGCGTGGTCCGCGCCGCCGACGACGGGCAGGAGCGCGCGCTGCGTCGCCGCGAGCTGGCGGACGCCGAGGCCCGCGAGGCCCGCGAGCTCGCGCGCCGTGCGCGCCTCGCCGCCGCCGGCGACAGCGCCCCAGGAGAAGAGCCGCTGGCCCGCGAGCTCCGCGCTGAGGTCGCGCCGCGCGTTGTAGAACGGCAAAATCTCGTCGCGGGGCACGCCGTAACACCGGCTCAGCAGCCGCGCGTGCGCCGCCTCGCCCCACGCGTTCGCGTTGACGGCGTACAACGACACGCCGCAGAGGCCGACGCGCGCGGCGTCGTCCGGCGCGAGGTAGTGGAGGCAGCGCCGGAGCACGTACTTCCCGAGCCGCGCGAAGGCCGCCGCGTGCGGCGCGCCGTCGCCCCGCGTCGCGGCCCGACGCGCCGCCGTCCGTCGTCTCCGACGCGGAGCCGCCGGAGCGGCCCGTCGAGTGGCCGCCGAAGAGCGCGTCGGAGCCGTAGTCGACCCGCACGCGGACCCGCCGCCCGCCGCCCCGCGGCGCGACGGCGGCGACGACGAGGCCGTCCGCCGCGAGGCCCGCGCCGACGTCGCCGCCCGCGCCGACGCCGCGCGAGCGCCGGCTCGACGCGGCCCTGCGCTCCGCGTCCATGCGCGTCCGCCGCCGCGCGGCCCGGGCGGAGAAGGACCCGCGCCGCGAGCCCCGCGACGACGCCGACGCCTCCCCGGAGCTCGACGACGACGACGCCCGGTCCGGCGGCCGCACGGCCGCGTCCGCGGCCGTCGGCGGCTGCCAGATGGCGCACGCGCGCACGAGCGCCGTCGCCGTCGTCCGCCGCCGCCGCCGGTCGACGCGGAGCTCGACGGCCGTGAGGTCGCGCTGGGCCGCGCGCGCGCCCGCGGCCTCGACGGCCGCGAGGCGCGCGAGCGCGACGCGGCTCGTCGCCGCCACGAGCTTCCGCGTGAGCCGGAGCAGCCGCAGCGGCAGCGCCGCGTCGCTCACGGCCGCGGCGCCGCGGTCGCCCGCGTCGTCGTCGAGGAGCTCGATGGGGCGCGCTGCGTCGCCGTCGGAGCCGTCGGACGACGTCGCGTCGTTCGCCGACGTGCGGCTCGCGGCCGACGTCGTCGTGCCGCCGCCGCCGCCGTCGGAGAACTCGAGCGCGCCCGCGTCGCCCGGCGCCGCGGCCCTTTTCGCGGGTCTCCGGCGGCGTTTCTTCGGC